GAAATGATATGTGAAATAAGGACATCTATCTACTGGTCAATATTTTTAAAGATGTAATTAAAAATCAGTCATCTTTATTTATTACTAGTTACTTATGTACTAATATTTAAAAAGAAAAAAAGGTGTGTATGCTCTTCCTAGTTAGAAAAGATTTGTTATGTGACCAAAACCTGCAGAGAATGTTTACAAAAGTAACAGTTATTTCTTTCCTTAATTCTGATTTTAAAAGTTTGCGAGAATCAAGTGACTTGGTGTTGAATATGTTGTGTCAACAACTTGAAATAATTGTTTTTCATCTTAAGAAGTCTATGAAATAATATTCAATAGATGTATGCATATGTTCTTACAAATAAAAAAAGAAAACCTCAAACACCAAGTCCAGTTTTCAAATCTAAAACTGACAGCCTTAAAACACTTTAAAGAATCATGTTCACCTTATATTAAAGCAATAGAAAGTGGCTCAAAAAGAGAGACAAGGTAAAAGGAAAAAAAAAAAAAAAAAAAAAAAAGCACTATTTCCTAAGTTTAGCCATGTCTTTGTTGACACAGTGGCAAGATATTATTTCAAGATGTCTGTCATAATAATGCAAACAATGTTAATTTGTTTTAAAAATATTTACAGATTTGAGAAAAAGAAATAATGTCAACAGTTACAGATTCTGGCCACACAAACTAAGTCTCCATGGCATTTTGTAAATTTTAAACCTGATTTCAATAATTCTTTCAATATTTCAAAATATGAAAAAAAAATTAGATCTTTTCTTTTGAAAGGGAAAATGATTAAACTATCTTTTCTATTATAGAATATCTGAAACCTAAATAGGATAGGGAAAGCTTGATATCAATGATTATATTAAATCAGTTATAATCGTATGTATGTATATAAATATGGGAGTACTTATCTGCAAACATTGACATAAATTGTTTTTATTCTATGTACAATATAAACCTTATCATACATTATAATTTCATGTGAACCCATAACTGTTTGTTACATTGGTGTGTGTGCGTGTGTGTGTATATATATATATATATATATATATATATATATATATATGTGTGTGTGTGTATATATATATATATATATATATATATATATATAAGTGATAGAAAGAGAAAATCTTGTAAATGTGAATGAAAATATTTCTTCCAAGGGAAAAGACCCAGAAAAAAAGGAGGGGAAAAAAGTCCCATTTTGTCCCGACTGCTGCCAAGTAGTTACAAAACATAAATGCAAATTCACTGTGTGTTTTGCTATTGTGAGGAGGAAGAGGAGTAGTTTAATTCTTGCCTGAGGACAGTTTCTGCATATGGATTCTGGTAAACAGCACTTGTTCGTTGTTCTTTCTGGGAATTTTCACCCAATGTATTGTCTGGGGTGAGAGGCGACAGCTGGGAGCTATCTGGAGAGCTAACAACTGCAGAACTATCAGTTTCTTGGAAATCTGTGTTATCTGAAGAGGACTCACAAAAAACTACTCTCTTGTAGGTGCCATCCTTGGGAAGTGATCTTCCACATGGGGGGTTTTCAGTTGAAATTGCTAAATTAAGCTCAACCATCTTTGCTCGTCCTGTTTCTATCGAACCTTCAGAATCAGATAGGGATCCAGCTTCTGAACGTCGAAAACTGTCCAATTTATGAGCCGCAATATTTTTGGGAGTGTCATCAGGACTGGAGCTGGCAGCTACTATGAAGTCTGGCATTGCTGAAGCAGCAGGAGCTAATGTGCACATGTAGTTTGAGGTTTTGGTTTCAGTGACTTCATCATCATCATCACTTGATTCAAGTTTTGTCATGTCAAGGTTCTCAAGTTCAGCCAAAGGGTCAATACTCATCAATTTCCTCCTACTTTCACAATCTGATTCACCTGATGAACTCTCACTTGAACTGTTTGACTGTGGGTGTGACAATGACCTGCGGTTAGAGCCTGAAAATGGGTTAGAACATACTTCACTCGTTTCACTGTCTCTTGTGAATGATGTACTGCTCCCATTAAAGTCTTCTTCTGAATCTTCATCTGTATGAAGCTGTTCTAATGGTTCTAATAAGTCATGCACGTCAAATGATTCATCTTCTAACTGACTGTCAGCCAAACTGGAGTCATCTGCATCATCAACAGCACTGTGGCGTCTTGGCATTGCAAATTCACAGGAAAGGTTCCGTCGCCTCAAAGAGCCGGACAGTTTTTGAGTCATCTCCTCAGATTGCACCCTGGACGAATCTGTAGTGCTCTCCTCTTCAGTGATTGTGGCCAAAGGCTTGCCTGGTGATACAATTGAATCTTGCTTCACAAGACTGCTGCTGCTGTTGCTGCTCTTCGTGTCAGCAGAGTGTTTCTTTGGACTCCCTTCAGACTCATCTCCAATCAAAGACCCAGGTGATGGAGGTGGTTTGAAGGTGCTAAAAGTTATCTTGCGTTCATTTGGTTCTGTGTCAATGTCTTGACTTAGAATCAGAGCAGCAACAGAAGCAGGATCATTGAAGTGACTGTGATCATTGTCGTTATTGCTAGTTTCCTCATTGCCCAAGTCCAACAATAGTCCGACTGATTTGGGCCCCTTAGACATTGACCTACCAGCAGTATCATCAATGATCACTTGTTTATCATCAGCAGTAGATAAAGAGAGACAAAGATCAAGTTCTTGTTCATTTGAAATTGACACCTCATTTGGTTCATTCACTGGCTTTTCATCTTCAACAACAGTTCTCGTGATGGATGCCACGCTGGCTGGTTCTGGGAGATCTTGCAATCCTTTAACATGGTGTACTGAATAGTTCATGGGAACCATTTGCTCCTGTGCCACACTTGGCTTAGTCATGTGAGATAGCTGTTTATGGTTTGCTACTTCTGACTCATCAGAGGTCTTGTGTACTGTCATATGTTTCTCTACATCACTTTCAAATTCGGGACTGGTTGTATGATCAAGGCTAGAAAAACTGTCCTTGGCTGGAAGTTTTCGAAAGGTGACAAACTCTGCGTTCCCTATCACAGAGTCAACAAATTCACTGTCTTCTTTACCAGCAGTCACTTCACTTTTTTGATTCTTTTCAGCATTTTCTTTCTGGGCTCGCCTTTGAATTTGTTCCAGAATTTCTTTTTCTAAAGAAGGGCTTGTTGTATCATCGATACAAGAATAACTAGTTTTAGGAGGAAGCTTATTGTAACTTACCAATTCAAACCTACGAGGACTGGCTGGGGAATGGTCATTAGGAGTTCTACATGAAGGAGATCTTCGATTAGGAGATGGGCCTCTAGATTTTCTCTGAGTGTGGGATTCATTGTTCAAATTCAGTTGTTCAAGCAAAATGCTTGAAGATGATTTGCTGTCAACTGTGCTGATGTGGCATTCAGTTTCAGCAAAGGCAAACAATTCGGTCTCATCTTTCAACTCCTTATCAATTTTGAGTCGCCGATGAAGTATGTATGGAATGTCTTTGATAAGGTCACTGCCATTGACAAAATTGATAGGTTTGTTATATTTATTCAGCTTGCTTTCAGTACAACACACATTTTCCTTCTTGAAATTAGAAATATTATTTAAAACATTGTTATGAGAAGTGGATTTACTGTCAAAGACATCTTCACAAAGTTGGGAAGACTGTTTGTTGTTGCTGCTGCTGTCAACATTCTGCAAATGATCAACATGGTTCCACTTACTGACTGAGCACCTATTATTATTATTATTTGCTGCACTGTCTTTTATTTCTCCTTCTGACTGACAAGGGTCATAAAATATATTAGATGTAACCAAACTTTGTTCCAATGCTGTTTCTGTTGTTTTCTGTGCACTACTGCCTGGGGTTATTTCCTTTAACTTATTCTCAGAATTAAGATCTTGATTTGGTGAAGGAAAGTTAAGTGACTCTCTTTCAGCAGGGGATTTATCAAGTTCTTCACCTGAATCAACTTGTCTGAGAATCTCATGTAACCTGTCCTCTTCTTTGTCTGTAAATTGACCTTCTGTCTCCAAACTACAACTTATTCTACTGTCCTCAATGCCAGAAATACCAGAATCAGATTTTGGTAACAAATCATCTATAACTTTTGAATTTTCACTGAAAGATGAACTTGGAGGTAACGGTGGAATGTTTTCAAATGGCACCGAATCTTCCCCGCCTTCCTCAACCATCTCATCAGCAGTAGGACTTGTGTCAGTTTCTGTAACGAGTTCACTTGATTCATCAGTAGGAACACCCAAACTGAACCTTACATCCTGCACAGCAAGAGAACTGGAAAGTTCATCACTTTCTTCTACACCTTTTGAGTCTTTAGTATCTAAATTTAAGTACAGCTCTCCTCCATCCCAATCAGTGGTCCCCTCATTCTCCATCATGTCAATAATCTCCCCACTTTCTTTGTCTATTTCATCCCAATCATTTTGTCTACTTGTTCCTTCTAAAGACATCTCTGCTATGTTCCATGTAAGAACACGCTCCTTACTCCCCATTCTTCTATGGCCCCTTAACTGATCCCTCTCTGCTGATAGTTTTTCTATTGTTAAAGGACTATCACGGCTATTCACATCCTCATGACTTGCTATCTCTTCTAAAGACACATTATATTCCAGCTTGTCAACTGAGCCCTCATCATCACTATGATCGTCATCGTCGTCGTCATCGTCACTCTGATCGTCACTGTCATCATCACTCTGGTCATCGTAATCGTAATCATAGTCTTCTCCTATATCAGAAATATTGTCAAATCTGTTGCTACGAGGAATTGTCTGAAGTGGAATGTCATCAGGGCTATCAGCATTACCATTCTTATCAACAATATCACTCATGAAATGCACTGATTTGAGAATGTGTGCGGATGCGTCACTAGAATCACTAGCACTTTTCTGCCCCTTCTCCTTACCACTGCTATGAGAAGTACTCAAGATTGAAGATAAATTATTATTATTATTGTTGTTATTATGATTTCCGGCATTGTCATTTGCATTTTGATTGGCTGACAATGTTTGCTGCCTATCAGAACTTAAACTAACAGATGATATACCATTCAAATCCAATTTGGCATTTTTGCTGTGGACATGATCACTGGACTCCACTTTGTCAATGTTCTGCGGAGAACTGCCTGGAGCCTGGTGGTCATTCCTGTTCTCATCCTGCTCCAAAGTGATGGCGGGCTGGCTGTGGCTGCGGGCCGACTCCAGCTTTGGTGATCCCAGGGAGCGGCTGCCTGACAAGGAACTCTCACTGTGCACCTCAGCAGTTTCTACCCGAGCTGATGGCAACACATGGTTGCTGTCGTGGGTAGTGTCGGCCAAGATTTGTGAGCCGCTGGACGCAGTACTATTCTGACTCACGTGAAAGTCAGAAGAGTTAAGAGTAGTTGTTTTGGGATGACTTTTAGGCGTCGCACTTGTACTCCTACTGATCCGGCCGCTCACAGATCTGAAAGTGACAAAAAAATTAGGAATTTCAAATAAACAAGTTTTTAATCCTACAAAACTTGAGACAATTTAAAAGAAATAATGAGAAGCTATAACAATAATAGCCACAAAATCATTCTTTCAAAATTTACTTACTAATATTTGCAGAGAAAGAAAATATTGGGATATTAAACATGAAAGGGCATTTTTTTCCCTTCCCAATTTCTTTTAATATTCTTGCAGAGTAAAACAAAAAACGTCTAATGCGAGAAAAAACAAAAGAAAAATAGTTTAAATTTTGTTCAGATTATTTTTATTCTGACTAATACTCTTGATGTTATGATCCCTGTACACTAAAGGCCTCTGAGTTATTAAACTTTCTTCTGATAGCACATGTAAGGAAATTAAGAGGACAGGAAAAATATTGACAAAACACTAATCCCATTTATATATATATATATATATTATATATATATATATATATATATATATAAACAGTCCAATAAAAGCAAAACAGATTGCACCTAACATCAACTTCAAATAAAAGACTTCCCCCACCCCTGATAATGCAAACAATGCAACTGAGATGCTTTCACTTCTAGATTATTTAAATGCAATGTCAATCGTTATCTTCTGTCTTCTTAATTCCTGTCCCATTATTGTTCTCACTACTTAATATGTTTTTCTTTTTCTTGTATTCTTTCACTCTTAGTAATCCCCCAAGATATCACACACACCAAAGATCTCCTAATTTATTAGTTTATCCCAGTAAACGACACTAGGACGGATCTCCACATCCCAAGATCTCAAAGAACAATCAAGAAGACAAAAAGATGAGCTTAGAGTTATCATTTGATTTGTGTGTTTAGGAGTCAAGACTTCATTTTTCTTTTCTTTTTTTAAGTGTTACCATCATCAGGATGAAAGAAGATTAAAATACATTTTCTCAAAGTTCTGTCAACAAAAACTTTGTTCTTTGTAAATAAAAAATTGCCATCGTGTAGATATTGGAGGAAAAAAAAAAAAAAGAAAAAGTGGGGAAGTTGTAGGATAAGCTATACAATACAAGGGAAATAACTATTGAACCAGATAACCGGAGTGCACTCCCTTAGCACCGAGAAAAAAGATCTGATATCCAAATTTTAACTGTTAATTCTTTATGTCCAATAAAGTTCTATCATATTCCATTTACAGCATCGTGTTCTCATTATATTACAACTTCCTTCTCAAATAATGTATCTACTTATTTTTGACAATAAAATAGTGGAAGACAAAACGAATTAGTCTAAATAGAACAATGAATAGAAGGCCTTGTCTAAAATTTTTTAAAAAAAGTATTTGCTTTTTAGTCAGTATAAATTTTATTGCTGGTCAATGTCCCCAATTCATTATTTTAGTTAATAAAATAAAATAGTAACACTTGTATTAAAAAAAACATAGAAAATTATTTTTCTTTCAAAATGAAATTGAAAAAAATATAAAAGCAATATGAATTTATGCATAAAATACTACAATTTATCTGACTGAATGATAGACGTAAACAATACATCTTCAAAGAACAGAAAAATTTAAATACACTTAAAATACAAATATAAAATCAACGATCTTTTACTTATTCCATTAGATATTTTAAAAAATAACTTTAGTAATGAAAATAAAAAAATTTTTTTATAAAAATATATAACTTTATGTACATATAATTTCTTAGGCATTTAATATTTATAAAATATACAACTAGATACATACAGTTATTGAATGTGGTTGGGGGGAAGAAAGAATTTATATAATTTACCATAAGGCCAGGGCTGGATTATGACCCTTTGGGGTCCCTAGGCTAATGAAATTATGGAGCCCTACTCAGACAGAGCCATACTCTAACATGTCTGCATAGGTTTTGAATATTTTTTTTACTTGTGATATACTTTAGTGACATTTACATAGCTTGAAGTAAACATATTGTAAGTTCTTTAAATAAACTAGAATAGCTATCTTTTGTTTGTCAATAAAAAATATTCTTTAAGAAACACTACTATTTTACTATTTATTGCAAACCAAATTAGCACATATTTTAACATAACTCTAGTAAAAAAAAAACAACCCAGATTATTTTATAACCAGTATTATAACAATAAAATAAATATGAGTGTCATATTGATAACATTTCAGTTTGTGAAACTGTTTAGATGTTATAACATCTAGAAAATTAAAATTACTGCTTTATAAAAACATCTAAGATTTAAACATTCTGAACTAAAATCAAATGTTATCTACTTGAAACACAATTATACAAACTAAAAAACATTATATTTTCCTTGCTTTGCTTCCTGCAAAGTCAAATAAATATGAGTTAGTCATATTGATATCATTATAGTTTATGAAACTATTTAGAATTTATAAATAAAATAGAAGTTATATAGAAAATTAAAATCATTGCTTTATAAAATCTTGAGGAGCCCTAAATTGAACTCAATTTTCTCTTTTACTGAACAAAGTTTTATATCATATAGTCTTCCATAGAATTGCTAAATAATTTTTCAGATATGTTAAATATCAGTTCATTTTTGTTTTATTCCCTTATGATGTTGAAGAAACAAGTCTTAAATTTTGAAAAACTCATTGTGTCATGGAAAGCAGAAATTCTCTTAGATTTAATAAGAATGATCTCTTATTTTTATATGAAACAATTTTAAGGGGTTTAAATTTCTCCAGATGAAAACATTGTAAGTAATATTCATTTTTTATTAGTCTTTTTTCATCTTATTTTTGTTGCTGTTTTTAATCAGAGCTGTGAGGACATTTTTTTCATTTATTTTATGACTTATTATGAAAAGAAATAAACAACTTTCATCTGTCATTGAAATTAGCCATACAGCTAGAGTTTTTTTCTTTTTCAATCCTTATACTATTATGTTATTTGTTTATGTCAGTGCAGTATTAGATGTAAATAATAAGAAAACATCATCTACATTTCTAAGGTGCACTATTGTCCTTTTGATTTATTTTTCTTTTCTCTTATTTCTTTTTTGCTCCTTTTACTACAACTTCTTTTATTTGAGGAAATCCAATGCTGGGAAAGAAGGCAACAAATAATAACAGAATATTCAGGCAAGTAAAATGAGTTTGAAAATACTGAAGTGATTATTTCATCAAATTAATCAGTAAAATTTAGAAATAATGCATAAATAAAGGTCTTGTAAGTTTTGATAAATACTTCTGATGAGTTTCATTGTAGGGATAAGAAAGATACACTTTCCCAAACTAAATAGAAACTAGAGTTATGGTTTGGCATTTGTAGGAATTGAAATTTAAATTATATTTCTAATTATTCTTATACTTTTCTTACTGTATTTTGATAATTCATAGGAGAAAATCCTCTTAAAGCAAAATAACAATTCCTACAAAAATTTTAAAGATAAACTACAACCGACTAAAGTCAAATTTTGCATTATTTAAAACCTTGCATAAAATCTAATAGAGTCATTTTTTATTTTTAAAGTTTCTTGTCATAATTGGATGAAAAGATCAAAATACAAACCCCCTTTAATATTTTTAATCAAACTTGTGGTTAAAACAGTAATCTTAATAAATAAGAAAAACGTCTGTCAAGTGATTGTAACCAACCAAGTTTTATTAGTGTACTGAGGTTTGTTTACTAGTAACAAGACTAATGGTTTCAACTTTTAGCATGAATGGATAGTTCAAATTTCATCTATGATCTAAAGACTACAGAATTGTTATATATTTGAGGTTTTCAGGCTAATTTAATTTGATTACTGGTCAGATTGTATTTTCTTTTAAACAACCAACTGCTGGAATATCAATGTTAAAATTATATATTTATTTATTGAGAGCCTTGTCAGATCAATGCTAATGAGTAGTGAGTGTGTTCCTCATTAGGTGCCCTATATTTGTGCTTTTGTGTCAGTTAAGTTAAGGCCAGCAAAAAAAAAAAAAAAAAAAAATAACTGTCTATTCATTTACCTTTCTTAACACTAATCAGAACAAGATGAAATTAAAATTTTAAATTTAAGTAGAGGCTTAAAAATGCCAACAAGGAGAATATTCTCTGCAAATGCTTCAATATCAAAGCATTCACTAATTTAAAATAAATTTTATTTCAAGGCCAAGAAAAGTATTTGTTAATTCACAGGAATTTAGAATTAAGTCAAAATGCAAATATCCCTGAGGAGAGGTGAGAAAGGCAACTGCATTGGAATGTGAGTTTGCCCAACAAAAATTTAATAAATGTCTATCAAGTTGTAGCTTTACAAAATTGATTCTTGAAAATAATAAATATAAAATAATGTTCATTAAACCAACTTTAAAATAAACAATTATTAAGTCAATTTAGATTAAATATAAAAAAAATTTCTAAAAGAGGAGTGAAAAATTTTTCCTGAGAAAAAACAAATTGTACAAACAATTCAACTGACAAAATTTTTTTTTAATTTTCAAAGCCTTGAAATCAGTCATTCATTGAGACATTAAGTAATGAGGAACAAATTGCAACAGTACCAACCCCCCCCCGCAAAACGACCAATGTTGGAACATTTTTTTTTTAGTTTATAGGGAAAATTGCCTCAAATTAGAGTTATCTGGATTTCCATGCCATTTATCTGACCAATTATTTCGCTATTATTTTACATTTTAAAAATGTTCAACTAAATCATTAAAAATTACAATTAAAACAATACTACACAATTTATAATAAAATTTATTTTATTGTCAGAAGGAATAGTGCATTCTAATGCCATATGCAAATTGTATTTCTAAATTAGCCTTTGGTTGACCATGTGTTCTTAAGAATTTTAAATAAAAATTTTGCTGCACTGGAATGTACAATGGTATGCTATACAAAGTGGTTCTATGTTGCAATAAACAACTGGTAGCTTCTTTTCTACCATTCTGAATTAGTATATACAACATGGGCTGGAAAGCATTTTTGAGCAATGATGAAGTGATAATTGTTGAAATGTTATTTTGCAGGAAAAGCAACAGCAGAAATTGCTAAAACTCTTGGAA